CAATTTTAGACTTGAGGTTCTCATGCTTGGATCTGCATGTCAAAACTCAAAGACAGAGGAAAAGCATCTTAGATAAGCACAGGACATTTCAAGATTGTAAATATAGAAAATAAAAAAAAGCTTAGAACAATGCAGCCAATAATGAGACCAATGCAGCCAATAATTATCATCAGCTTGAGCAACCTGGACTTCTGGTGTCTATCTTGCATTTCTCGCAGTTCCTTTTTCAGATCAGCAAGCTCATCCTTCTGTTTAGCAGAGGTATCAAGAATCTTCTTCAGTCTAGCTTGCATTTGGTCCTCCTGTGCTTCCAGTTCATGCTCTCTATTACTCAACTGTTGAAGATTTTCTTCCAAATTTTTTTGAGCTTCAATATCAGCATGTTGTTGCCTATCCAAAACCTCCTTCTCATCTCTTAACTTTGCAGTTTTCATCCCAGCATCTTCCTTACTGAAATGTCAACATCCCCAAGATTGTTTCAGTAAGTAGAAAGTTTTCAGGCCTTGAACAGATTCACTTCTAACTTATGAAGTTTAGTTTACATGCACGAATTAATATAAGTGAGACACATGCATAGAGTATATATATATATATATATAATTACACATCACCAACCATCTAATTAGGTCAAATGAAAACAAATTGCAAGGAATAACAACAATGGCACCTTAAACAAAAAGTTTTAATAATTCAAACATGGTTAACCAATGAATGGAAGAAAGAAAAGGATCCAACTCCAACCTGCAGAAAACCAAATAACTCATTACCATTACTAATAACAGCAACTTCAAGCGAATCTCCAGAAACATAGAAGACATTGTGCTTTGGTTAGCTACACAAATGTGATAAGCAATCCATCCTCACCGATTGCATCTATCAAACTGACAAAAATAAAGCACAACACAATCAACAACAGGCAAACCGAATCTCCACTAATATTGATCCGATTTCAACTCCAAATTCACTTGAGGCAATCCAAGAGACAGCGTATCAATGAGAACAGCCTGAACTTACTTTTTCAAGACACCGCTATATAAAGAACAAAATGCCTCTCCCAAAATGTGTCACAAACAATTTCCACCAGTAGGGAGTTGTCATAAAATTGATATTAAATCCAAGTTAATAACCATAGAGCCAATTCTTAATCAACCATAATCAGGAGCAAATAATATGTCATTATAATGAACAGAGTAGCTACCAGAAGAATAATCTACAGAAAAAGAAAAATTAGGTTGACTCAGTATTAACACTTGGAATTGATGACATAAAAAGGTAAGAACACTTTCTCTGCACTAAATAAAGATGATTTATGTGATATTAAAAGCCTGCACACATGGCTTTTCTTACATATTCAAGGAGCTGGTCTTCTCTCCCTTTTTTGTAATATTTGGGATGAGAAAAGGGGGGATTATCATAAAAATCATCATTCTACAAACACACACAAAAACAATAACAAAGAAAGAAAGAAAAGAATAAAGAATCAACACCGTGTTTTTTGTACAAGCTAAAATTGTTTCAGAAAATTTGAAGAGGTGGGAAGAGAAGGAAGAAAGAAAAATACTACAAGGATTACCCAGTGGAAGTAGATGGCAAATGAAACAGGAACACTCTATCATAAAAAATAACCAGGAGTCAAGGACAATAACTACAAATCTTTAAGTTGAATTTGACAGAAAAAACAGAAATTTAATATTTCAGCCATGATAGAATCCATGAAAGCAAAGAAACTAAAGAATTTCGTCTCATAAGGAACCAAAAAGAACTTACATTTGGAAATACTCAGTAAGTTGACTGTCAAGTAAAGGGAGTTTCCCAGTACCATCACGACTTTTTTCATTTAAGTCTTCCAGCTTTGCAGTTAGATCTTGTATGCCTTTCTGCAATTCTTTTATATCGTCAGTATGTTTCCTCCTTTCTTCTTTTTTTCTTTCAAGCTCCTTTCGGCTACTCTTGATTTTTGAATTTATGCGAGACATTTCTTCATTTAATTTCAGAAGCTCAGGTTGCTGCACTCAGGGAAAATTTAAAAAAGCCAAAAAAAACAAAACTACGTCATAAGCTTCTCTTCATCATATGAACATGAGATAATCTCCTAAAACTGAGATCAATACATCATTAATTGGAATAGAAGTCCCACCTACACATTAAAAGAAGCAATCTAGTTACCACAAAATTCATGGAATAGGCAATAGCCTGGTAGTAGCCACAATCTTATCCCCAAAAAGGTCTCTAGTTCAAATCCCCCCTTCCCCAACTTAACCATCTAAAGAACTAGTCCGCAAAGAACATAATCAAAACTAATTGACAAACATGCATTCCAACCTAGACCAGTAATTCAAGTACAACAGTACCAATCCGCATGGACACAAAAGAAAAAGACTTCGCAAAACTCACACTTTTATCGAGTCTAATGCTTCTCTCAGAGATCTTCTTTTCACATTGAGCAATCTCTTTTAGGTACTTGGCCTGTTCCTTCTTCTTTTTAGCTGCTTCAGTTTCAAAATGCTCTAGCTCATGCATCACATCTTCACGGTTCCTCTTTTCAGAGTCGAGGTCATCAGTAATCTTTTCAATATCCTTCTCTATGTTAAGCAATTGCCACAAGTAGTGCTCTTTTTTCAAAGATTTCTGCACAATTTTTTTAGAACATCAAAAGGAAACGTAATTAACAATCAATCTTAATGTCTAAAAAAAACAAAAAACAAGGAAATTATACAAAACAAAGATTTTAATTATACCAGCCCATCTTGCAAGCGAAAGTGTTTCTCAGCTTCTTCTTTCTGTTCTTTCTTTTGCTTTCTCTCCATTACTATTGTCCGCTTTCTCTGATAAATAAGCGCTGATTTTTCTTCAGCCCTAGCTTTTTGCTCTTCCAAAGTCTCATAATCTCTCTTGAGTTCCTCAGAACCCGAAATCTGCTCGAGCAGCCCCGTAAGTTCTTTAGGATTTTTTGAAGCAATGGACTCCACATCACCCTAAGACCAAAATTTTTTTCACAAAATTATATCATTATATCTTACAAATTAGCGTTAACTTCCACTAAATCCTATTTGAAGTTTACACATAAAAAAAATTACCTGAAAAACAAGAAAATTCCGAGCCTTAACGAGAATACCAAGGGATCTCAACTTCCCATTGTACTCATCCCAGTTAACAACGCTGCTGTCGATACGGTACTCGCTACCACCGGCACTGGTGATGGAACGGGTGAAACAGAGCTCGGAGCCACCAGCAAGTTGGTAAACCAATCGCACAAAGGCGCGTCTGCCACGTTGTTCTTTTTCGCGATCGTCGTAAGCGTAGATTAAATCTTTGAGTTGGGCCCCACGGAGCTGGCCCGTTCGGACTCCAAGAACGAAGCTGATTGCGTCCATGAGATTGGACTTGCCCGCCCCATTCGGACCAATAATGGCAGTGAAGTCGGAGAAAGGACCGATAGTTTGGAGGCCCTTGTAGGACTTGAAGTTCTCAAGCTCTAAGCGGAGGATTTTGCCTGGGGAACTCAGCGACGGCATTTCGGTTTGGGTTTTTTATTTGAAGCTTTAGGTTTTGGGGTTTGGAGGAACGGAACGGTAACTAGGGTTAGGGTTTGTTTGGGAGGATGGAGGAGAAAGGGGGATTTTCCGGGAAAGTGGGGGGGGGGGGGGGGGGAATTGGAAGGTTTAGGGATTCGGTGGCAGGGAAAGTGCGGGAGGAGAGATTTTGGGAGACTTTAGGAAAGTTGGAATTTGAGTATCCATTCTCGAAAGTGGAGAATGGTAAACTTGCAGGCGACGTTTCCTTTCTGGTGGGGGGGTTTTATGATTTCACATAATCCGTTCAATTTTTTAACGTTAGCCTTGCGCGTTGCTTGGAGAGTGGTAGACTTGCAGGAGATGTTTCTTCTGCTTGCTTTTTTTTTCGTTTATCCGTTGAATTTTTTAACGTTAGCCTGGAGGGTTTCGGGCCTTGGGGCTTGATTTCACAAAGCCCACTATTGATGTTACAGTCTTCTTATCTAAATTTGTACGGTGAGTTAAGGTTTTTTATTTTTTTCTAAATTATATTTATAATTAAATATTACATTCATATAACTAATTATTACATTATTAAATAATTTATTAATAAATTATAATTTAATTATACAATCATATTCACACAAAATGAGATTTGAACCTAAGATCTTAAGGTTTTAAAGCTTCTTTTTTGTCATTAAACTAAAATCTCATTGGCTGGAGAATTTTTATTTTTATTTTAATTATCAGTTGATAGATATATATAATAATAATCAATTTAAAATATCAAACAATCTTATATTATAATTGAAAAAATTGTTATAGTACTAAATTGCTTATTAAAATTGTTCAATCTAATACTTATGTACAAATCTCTTTTTTTTAAATATTAAGTATATCTTTTTTGGCCATTATATTAAGTATATCCTTTAAAAAATAATATACATGCGTTACCAATTGTTATTGTTTGAAAAACTATATAATTGTCACATTTTTATTTAACATTTATCAATTAATTACGTTTATATGCATAAAAAAACAGTTGTAAATTAGCAGAGGACTGGTATAAAAGATAATTACATGATAACTAAAGTATTATTTGATAAACTGAGCAATTTAAACACAAAAAATTTAGTGAAAATTTTTTAGTTTTGAAATTTTTAAATATTCAATTTATGAAATAAAAAATATTTGATATTTTACTAAAAATTAAATAATTAATAGATTTTTTATTAATTTATTCTATAAAAGAAATACGATTTTATAATTATTTTTTACTTATAAAAGTTAAAAAGAAATGAATAAAAAAAAGTTTTAAAATATAAAATTAATATAATTAAATAATATTTTAAAAAAATAAAATTGACTTAATACATTAAATAGCTATAAATTACTTAATAAATTTTTCATTGAAAATATTTAATTAAGTGATATGCATTAAAAAATAAAATTATTAGAAAATTTTAATTTTAAATAGTTCCAAAATTTTACTAAACTGGACTGGACTGGACTACACAATCATATTCCCTAATTATAAAAAAACCAATTATAAAGTTACCAGCACAAGTGGTGTAACGGAAATTAAAACTAGGAATCTCTTTTAACTCTTCAAATTATCATGATTTAATGTTTTCTTAGCACCGCTGCTGCTGGATTCAGTACCATCTACTTTGGTGGAACCACTCATCTTGGTTTCGTTATGGGTCGAGGGAGAAGCACTTGTCTTGGTCTCGTCCTGGGCCGAAGGAGAAGCACCCATCATACTTCCGTTATGGGTCTCAACCGGAGCAGAGGCATCAGCCGCAGCGGTGCCAGAGTTTTCAATAAGCTGTCGTCCAGACATTGAACCAGCTTCCAGTTCCTCGAATTTGGAGATGACCTGTTGAATTTCATCATTCAGATTCAGTGCCTCAAAGAGAATTCCATCATCATCTGTAGTGCTTTCTATGATCATCTGAATGACAGGCTGTGACTGCTTGCACTTTTCCAACATGCTCTCTGTCAGCTCGTCCTGCAATCACACAAGAACTTTTCTGAGTTTTTCAGTTTTTTTTTCCACGTCTGTTTTTATCCTGCGTTTTATATACATTTAAAAATTGGCATTCTGATATATCATTCCAATTTTAAAAGGGGTTAGCCCATTCCTACCATCCTGGAAGATATTATGCCAACAAGATCAGATTGGAAGAACAAAAAGGCTTCACGATGCAGTTAATAAATAGCATTTTCACATATCTAATAAAAACTAAAATGCAGTAGCATTTCATTTCCCGGCGTGAAAAGCTGGCATGCCAAAGAGGTCAAAGAGCAGGTAAAAATTAAATGAATTTTGGAAAGTAAAATCTCCAATATAAGTTACAATAGTGTGCTATCATCCATATAACTGATATAGCGTCAAATGACTACACAGCAGAAATGGTTGGATATGCAGCAAGTTCTATGAACTACAAAGTACAAGATTACAGTTAAATCATGCCTTCATGCTAGAAGCAGAATAATTACCCTTGCGGGTTTCAGCTCTGTTTCTGTACTCAACATGCTAGAGAGAACCTCAAGGCTGTTCCGAGTTACTTCAAAAAGTTCCTTCTTTTGTTCAACTGATAGACTCCCATAACTATAGGCAAAATCACTACCATGCAAACCTGTGTTATTGACAGGATAATTTTCAGAGGGAGGCAATGGCTCTCCCTTATAAGACTCCAAGGTATGGTGCAAGGGGGGTGAGTTCCCATCATCTACTGGAATATGTGTACTTCTTCCTTTCAAGCTCTGCTTTATGTTAAAAGAGGAGGAAAAGTAAGCAAAAAGACGGAGAATTACCATCTTTAAATGCATGATAGCCTGCATGCAATTGGTGTAGGCACATTTAAAAGGGGCTGGGAACCATCCAAAAGATGACAAATTGACAATTCCTAATGAGAATATTGTAATTTAACAAAAATGAAATATCAGCAAAAAGAAAAGAAACAAAATTGAATTTAGTAGGATCCCCTTATTGTTATAATTTATAAATCCTTCAAGAAATACATATATTCCCTGTTAAAATGGATTATGAAGGATCAAAACATTGGATAGAAGAGTAAGGGGAAATCAATGAAATGATAACACAATCAAAGGAGCCTTAGAAGCTTAAATAGTTTACTAGATGACCAACCTGCAAAATGGCATTTCCAACATTTTAATTCCAGCATAATTACAGAGCATGGAGTAAAACCCAGGCTGAACTTAGAACAGGAAAGAAAAACCTTGTAATTGCAGGTACTCATTCTCCAAATTATTTTAATTCAATGATATGAAAATAGGAATGAGAAGGGTATTAGTGATAGGGAAAAAAGGGTAAGAACAAAAAACATGTCTATGGTTTGTCATATCAAATTGGTATTAGTGCTGGCAATTAGCAAAAACCTTGCTGCCTAAAAACTTGTCAGCCTTTTAACTGTGGAGTAAAATAATGAAAAGTTGTATTTATGACTTAAAATGACAAATATTATGATCGATTTCATGTTGCTAAACATATCATGAAGAAGTCCAAAGATTTTCCTCAGGCATAATATTCAAAGATCAGCAGATTAACAGATTGTATCGATATTATGCAATAACGAAAATATAAATGTCATTGTCCAGCGATTTTAATCAAAGTATTAATAAAACTATGAAGAGCTAAACAAACATACAAGTACACAACAGCAACACATGAAAGAACATGAATCAAGGTGAAAATGATTTACCAATTACCATATAAGTTTGGTGAAACACAGGCAGGTAAGCAAGATCCTCAGACTGTCCCCAAGCACGAATCAACTGCAAAGCCCTTTCTCTATTCTCATGATCTGTTTGTCGATTCTCAATCATCTTAACAATCTCTTCCAACACTTTCTCCGAAGCCACCTCGAAAGCTACCTTCTTGCAATTCATCGTAGTAGCTTCCAACAAATCAAGACTCAACCTTTGGCTAACAACATTTTTTCCGGATATCTTCTTTTTTATGGCCCTAATAATTTCCGTCCCATTAAACTCTTTACTATTGATCATAGAACATATCCTCATGTTCATTCCCCAATTTGGTTCTTCTAAGGTCTCTAATGTAGCCTCATCGACCATTTTGGAGTCGGGTGTCGGGCCTAGCAGAATTTCCTTCATTTTCCCACTAACCATTCTACTCATTTGAGCTCCACCCGTTTTTAATTTCTCACCCCATTGAGCTAGTTTCATTTTATCCATACCCACCTTGTTTTCCTCATTGGTTAAACCAAATCTCCAATTCAAGCTAAAAAAAACCCCCTAAGTTGAAACAATTTAAATTCGTTAATAATACCCAAATAAAGCATATACTTGTTTACTAGCAGAGAAAGAGCAAAAATAGAGTAAATCACCGTAAATGGGTGATTAAGATCATAGCATTAAACAAAAGCAGAAAAATCAAAAGAAAATAACAGAAACTAGGAGAAAAACCTAACGAACTTGAGCTGAGTTAGTTATAAAAGAGACAAATCGAGGCTTTGGGTTTGAATTGTAATAGGTTATTTTTCTTTCTTCTTTTAACAGTTCGTTAGAGAGAGAGACAGATAGAATGGCCCCAAGTCCAAGATACGCGTGGCTCGCTTGGCGACTTTTGTGTCTTTGTTTTCCATTTTTGTTTTGACGATATCTAAATCTAATTAACTATTGCTTTCTCAGAAAAGAACAAAAAAAAAAATGGTTTTCAGCCTGACGAAACTTTGGAGCTCAATCTAAGAATGAAAGGCTTAATAAAGTTGGCCCAACCCGAAAATTTTTATTTTTATTTTGTGTATATTTTTAATAAAACATATAATTTACTGGTATATAATTTATTTTTATTTATATTCTATATATCTTTTAGAACTGTTTATATTTCAATTGAACATATAGATGAACTTGGAGAATTGAAATTTTGATTTTTCTTTTTTTACATATATTACTTTTACTGACCTTCCAAATCTTACTTCTTTTGGGAATTGGATTTTAGTTTTTTCTCTTATTTATATATACAGATAAGTGGCAAGTCCTATTAAGTAGGAGAGAGAAATATCAAAAAAATTAAAAAATGATTTAAAATTGTAGTGTTCAATTTGAATTGAATCGATTTTTTTTATTTGATTTAAATTAAGTTCGGATATTAAAATATATATATTAAGTTAAAATATAATTTCAAATCGAGATATGAAAAACCGAAAAAAAATCAAACCAAATTAAATTATATATTTTTATTAATTTTTATCTATTTTTTAATTTTTATAAAATAAAAGTAATTATTTTATATAAATCTATTTAAATATATTAAAAATCTTATTAAAATAATATAAAAAAAATTTAAGAACTAATGAACTAAACCGAACCAAACCAGTAAAATTTGGTTCGAATCGGATCGATTTCAAAGTAAAGTCAATTCGGATATGGATCAGATTTTAAAATTTTATAATATTATATATTATCTAGAAAAATAAAATCAAATTTGATCTAATCAAACCGTTTTCACCCCTACTGTTAAGAATCAAACTTTTTTTTTTTTTACATATTTAGTTTTTTATATATTTTTTACATTTTTGAAGTGTCTTTTATAATCCTTGGTAATTTGTCTTTGTGAGCTCTAGAGGTATAAATAATACATTAGTACTAGTAAACTACTCGAATTCAATTCAAATTTGGATCAGTTATTATCAAGTCAAGCTCAAACTCGAGTAGGTCAACCTATTGAATGAGTCGAGTTCGATCATTTTAATATCCGGTTCGAGTAACTCATGAGTATAATCGAGTTTTTATATTTTAATATATTTTTATTATTTTAATTAGTATTTTACAATTTTACTATCAAAGGTAGAAATACTTAAATTATGTGCATTTTATTTTTCAGTAATACACTAAATATTAGTCAGCTTATCCATATTAGATGCATGCATATTAAGCTTTCAACAAAAAATATAATCACTGTATTGGATTAACTTTTACATATATAATAACATATGATATGCTTTTTGGTTTTATCAACTGAAAAAAGTTTGCGATGTTCCACTTGCATATTCAAGATGTTTTTAGATTTAATCATTGTCCTATTGAACTTGCATGTTCCTACACATCATCCTCCTTTATCTTTCAATTTTAATTAAGCGATTCAAGTATTAATCAATTCAATGCTTAATATTATATATATTGTTAAAATTTTGAATAAATTTTTATTTAAGATTAAATTTTTAAAATTTTAAAATTTTGATATCCATTAACTTTCAATTAAAAATATAATAATAAAGATTTTTTAACTAAAAAAATGAAGTAATAGTCTATTTTGTTAAAGCTAACATGGTCATTTACTAAGCAAATCAGGACTTCAACTATTTCTATTCCTCTTTGCTTGGCTATATAAATATTTATTTCTATTTTTATTTTTCTAAGTAATTTCCATTTATATTTTTATAATAATATAGCAGTGCAGTAATAGTCTATTTTGTTAAAGCTAAATTAACTAGAATCATATTCCAGCATTCTATTAGATAAGGATCTTGTTATGGTATTGCATGAAATTTTCATGTTTCTAGCATTATATTGAGACACATGGTGTTGGTAAATGGATACTATAGCATGTACATCACTCACACACATACACACGCATATATATTTATTAATGTACACTGCTCACATGTTTCTAGCAACTTGTTTAGATTCATGGTTTCAACTGTTGGGCATTGTTGTTTATCCCAAAATTAAATTATTGTTTTGGTTTTTTTTTGTGATAGAGAACTAAACATGTCATCAACCATATCAGATATCTCTTCTGCACCATTTCAGTCAACAATAAATTCATTTGTTAGTTAGATTATGTTAGATGATGATAATAATTCAATGAATGAAACTTTAGATGCCATTGATGGTAACACAAATAAAACATTGTCATTTATATCAATAATAGAGAATGTAATGATGTTGACCTTGAAGAGTACAAGAAAAGTAATGAGAAAAACAAGTAAAAGACATTTATTATTTGATTAGAGTTTAAAAAAATTAGTCTTTCTGATGGTTTTAAAAAAAAGAGTGTGTCTATTATAAAAAAAATTTAAAAGTACAACTCAATTTAAGAAGCACTTGATAACTTGTGTTAAGTAAAAAAAATTTTAAAATCAACAGCAAATGATCAACTTTCAGCTAGTAAACACATGTGGTGATGTACAAATACTACCTGCTCTCACAGATAAGAAGTTTAACATGGCAAAAATAAAAGAGGCAGTTGCACATTGGATACTTATACATGAGTATCTTTTTTTTTTATTATGAAAGAGGAAAGTTTTAACATGATGCAAAAACATGAGATGCCTGAATGAAAAAGATATCACGTAATACTGTTAAAAAAGATTGCATGCAAGTTTATGAAGCAAAAAAGAAGAAATTAAATACATTGTTGAAGATTGTTAGCAAGATTAGTTTAACGATAGATTTGTGAAAGTCAAGTAATCAAAAGATTAAGTACATGATTCTTAGAACACATTTTGTAGATTCTAATTAGAGATGAAAAAAGAGTTGAGATTGTCGATTATATTTTTAAGTGTCTAAAAGAATAAAAAATTAAAAACAAGGTGTTTACACTCTTTGTGGACAATACTTCAAGCAATGATGTAGCGATTATAATTTTTAAAGACACTTTTTTCAAGAAATAAAAGGTTACTTTATGAAGGAAAAATGTTTCATATTCGATGCTGTGCACAAATCTTAAATCTCATGGTTTAAAACGATCTTGCTAAGATTAAAAATGTGATTGGTGATGTTCATAAAAATGTTAGTTTTATTAATCAAAATGAGGCAAGATTTAACTCATTTTTTAACATAGTACAATAGTTGTAGTTTCCTAATAGAAAACTCTTTCTCGATTGTAAAACATGTTGGAATTCAACATTTGAGATGTTGTTGACTACAATCAAATTCAGAGAAGTATTTCCAAGACTCAAAGAATGAAAATCTTATTACGAATGTTGTCCAAGTCATGAAGATTAAGAAAAAATAGAGAAAGTCTATGAGATTTTAGAAGCTTTTAATTTAAAAACTAAAACCATCTCTGAAAGTGATTATCTAATTTCAAACTTATTTTTAAATAAAGTTTATAGTGTAAAAGTATTGTTAGATAAAATGATGAATGATGAAAATGAATTTGTTCAAGTAATGATTCACAAGATGAAGAGTAAATTTGATAAGTATTGAAGAGAATGTAATTTGTTAATGGCTATAGAAACTATCTTGGATCCAAAGTGCAAAATGAGGATGGTTGAGTTTTGCTTTCCTCGAATGTACTATGATAGAGAAGCAAGAGAAAATATTACTATAGTTTGATATGCTTTTTATAAGATTTATGATGAATATGTTCATGAGTATCAATTTGATAATGAATATAGTACTGAAACTTAAGTGCATAATAATAGTATTAATGGTACAAATATAGAAGCTTTTTCTTCTGGTTGGTTTGAATTTTCAAATTATGTAAAATTAGTTGAAACTGTTCAACCACAACAATTTGATCTAGATTTACCAAGTTGAGGATTGCTTCATCTGTAAAAGAGATTTCACTAAGTTTGATGCTTTTAGAATGATGAAAAATAAGCACTTTAAATCATAATATTTAATCCAAGATGGCTCATGATATACTTGCTATTCATATCACTACAGTAGCTTCAGAGGTTACATTTAGTGTGAAAGGTAGAGTTATTGATACTTATCATTCATTTTTAGCTCCTAACATAGTGCAAGCATTACTTTGTGAAGAATATTAGTGTAGGAATCTTCATGGAGTGAAGAAGAAAAACAAAGTGAGTTTTTTTTTATTATTTTGTTATTTCATGGCTATCATTGCTTTTATTTAACTTTTAACTATTATTTTTCTTAACTTTGTCTATATAGAAATAGAAGAAACCAGTTGAGATTGCACTCAAAATCTTTTAAAGTGAGGATATCTGGTGTCTTCTATACATGTATGAATATTATTACTAAATATCTTTAATTTGTCACAATATTACTAAAGAAAAATATGTGGTAGCTAGTCTAGCTTAAGTTTTTTACATTATAGTTTATGAACCATAGGTTAACCAATGACAAAAAATTATGTTATGGCAATTGACAAAACACTGTCAATATTTTTCTACTTTGATTATAAGGCAATTGGCAAGATACAATCTATATTTATACTAATGTTAAAAACTTAAAGTTATTGATAATTGTAATAATATCACAATCTTTTTTTCATATGGGTGCTTCTACTATATATGTAGTATTTAACTCTATAAAAGTTACTCTTACTATTATTATTATTGTTAATTGTAATTTGTTTGTTTTGTAATTATTCTTTTGTGTAGGTTTGTTGGAAAAAAAATGGGTCAAACGATCATTTGAAGACATAATAGTGTGAAGGCACCATAAGCATATATATTATTGTTGATTTGTTGTAACTTATGTGTGGACTTATTTGCTTGGATATTTAATTTCTTTCAATTTAGACTTTAATTTCTAAGTTTCATTATGTCTTTTATTTGTGTGTTGTATTTGAATCATTTGATGAGACACTTATTTGTTTGGATTTGATTGTTGTGTAAGT